GTTCATGCAGCTCCCTGAGCAGTCATGATGCCTGGCCATCAATACTGTCGTCCATGCCATTATTTTGCATCATCATCATCAACAATAACAACAACAATACTCGTGGGGTGTGGGCACCTTCAAGCTACCTCAACAACAATACCCGTCGGGCCAGGGCTCCATCCAACCTCCATTTGAGGCAATAAGGATGTTTGTCTTGCAAACACTACCGGCGGTGTGCGGTGCGTATGTCTCACAATATCGCTCCACCATCACCGACTCATTTGGTGGCATCGTTGGTAACTGACTAGAGCTGTAATACTAGATAGATTGTTCGCCGTTGATCAGTTGATGGTTCGATTGATGTAGTGGCGACAAATAAAGTGTCATGCACTACCGTGTGCAAACCGGACCTGTACTAGTTTTAATTTGGAAATAAAAGACAAGCATATTTCTTATCTGCATATGGTTTCTTTGTTTGAGTGCACTCAAGTCCATGTTGATATGTTCACACTAACACTACTATTATGCATTAACTAGCTATTTATGTAGTGTAGTAATCTATTATTTGTGTAGTATAGCAATTTGAACATAACATAATTGTTGCGAAACTTGGATAAATTTTGAAGTACTATTAAAGGAGTGAGGACAAACCACAAATAACTCTTTAATAGTGTCCTTCCGTATTTTGAACTTCTTGCATGATTTTCATTTTGTTCTAAATAGTAATATTGTCTCGTTGTTATCAATGAGGTGCACGGCATATTTTTATTTTTATTTAGGAGAGACTAATTGCTTTTCAGTGAGTCTCATCAATCATCACTACAACATATAGTGATATCTATGACGAAATGACTTGACGAGAAAAAAATAGGCATGTATATGTGCACCAAAAATGCTAGATGTATGGGGTTTTACATGCTCCTACGGGCTCCTTCCTAACCAACTAAACATTGCCCCCCCCCTCGATTTTCAGGTGGGTGGGGCCCCTCACTCCCCTTAATCCAATCACGATTTGCCACATGAAACTCACCCCGTAAAACCCTGTAACTGTCCGTCGGTATAGCATTACTGTATGTGTACTTCCAAGAGAGGTTGACACAATCTATGACAGAACCTAAAAAACGGACATAGAACTGTAACCAACTCTGTCATATAAGTTAAGCGGGCCATGTGTGGGCACTTCTATGACAATTTCAGCACCATCAATGATGAATGTTCGACCGTCATGGAAGTAGGCCACATCCATGACGTCATGTTCTGTCATACAGTGAGAACTATATTTTTGATTGGTTTGGTCAATTTCATCTGGTAATGCCTTGGGTTCCTTAGCCTCACAATTCATGAACCAAATGTTGCCTACATGGCACCATCGATGGGACCCACCGGTCAGATTTGACGTCAACAGGTGCTAATCGATCGTTCAGTGTTTTTGCCAAACTGTCAGCACAATACTTATGGGTTTTTGAAAAAAACGTAAACTGGTGGTTTTTGATTTAGGGTCCATGAATGTGGTGGTTTCCTGCAATTTACTCCCTGACCGGTCAGGGATGACTTCATTAATTTGAAAGCGCTTTGTCTCGAGCCTTCTTTCTAAAAAACGGATTTGATGAGAAATTATCCTACAAAACAGACAGTGACGGTGCGAGCTAGTACGTATCTCTCCCCCAATTACATCTACAGGAGACCATTGTTTGTCTCGGTACTAGGTACATGGATCGATCGTACGTTGTAGCTAGCTAATCGTCGGTGAGGGGGACAGTGGGCAGCTTCCCGCCGTACATCTCCGGCACCTGGCTCTCGTCCATCTCCCGCCGCAGAGTCTCCTCCAAGTTCTTGTCGTCCACGAACACGAACTGCATGCGCGCGCAAACAGTTAAGCAAGCAGAAGCAGAGCAACGTTGGCATTTTTACTACTAGTAATTGTTTGAACATGGATACACGCACCTTGTCCCTGGTGTTGGTGTCGATGAAGGGGTAGACCATCTTCCAGGCCTTCATGAAGATGTAGGGCACGTGGACCATGAGCGCCTTGCCCAGCCGCTCCGGGTAGTAGCCCTGCATGATCTCGATGGCGGCGATGTAGGCGCGCACGTCGGAGTTGGGGTACCCCCACCCCTTGAGGTCCACGATGCACATGAACTTGTCCTGCCCCCGCGGGATCCTGGCACTGATCCTGTCCAGCAGGTACACGACAAGTCCTGCAAAAAAGAGTCGAAAATGCATGATATGATCAAGTTTCATTGCATTGGCAGATAGCTTGGGATCATCTGCAGCATGTGCGTGCACGCACGCTTGTGCTCCGCCATGTCGCGGTCGGCGGACAAGTGCCTGGCGGGGAAGACGAGCAGGACGGGGCGGCCGGCGCGGTCGACGCCGCCCATGCGGGCCTTGTCCTGCGACAGCTCCGTCCGCACCAGATCGGCCGGCATCACGCCGCCGACGCCGCCCGGCACGGCCTCCCGCCTCCACGCCACGAACTTGAGCAGCATCGCCGAGGCCTTGCCCACGTCGTGGTCGCGCGCGCGCAGGAACCTCCGCAGCGTCATGTTGTCCACCTCCTGCAGTTCAGCACCAGAATTACTTGCTTCCACGGGTTTGCCATTCTAAAGCAGCTGTCAGGCCTACATTAGCAGACCGTTTTCTGAAACTAAAGAAGCCAGTTTATATTGCAATCTTTAACTCTTCCATTCGTCTAAGATTCAACCCCGAACTGTCAAAAGTAGCTATGAATCAACCCTCACCTTTCCTCAAACTGATTTTCTCTAAGTAGCCCTGATTTGGGCCGATTGACCGACCAGCTGGCATCCCAGTCAGCAGCTACATAAGCAAACCCACTAAATTTACATTTTCAGCCCATTTTTTAGACCAAAAAAAGAATGAAAGAGTCCAATTTTTTTTGAAAAATCCTGTAAAATCAATACTAATTTTATGATCATTCTGGGGAAGTTTCACACATTGTCCCAAACAGATTTCAAAATACATTTTCGCTCCCTTTTTTGTTCAAATTTTGAGGGCATTCTTAATTCTGTTAGGCAAAATTATTCGAAGAACTTCTCAGAATGATCAATATATTAGTGTTGGGTTTACAATATTTTTTTTAAAAAATCTTCACTAGTATAATTTTGGTCAAAAATTTACAGTAATGTAGTGATCATTCTGGGAAAGTTTCTTACAGTTCTGAAAAAACACTTACATTACATTTTCAGTTTCTTTTTTGGTCAAATTTTATGGGAATTCTTAATTCTGTTCAGCAAAAATGTTTGAAACTTTCCAGAATGGTCACTATATTAGTGTTGATTTTATAATATTTTTCCAATTTTGTATTGAGACTTTCATTTTTTGGTCAAACTTTTACCCAAAAGGGGCTTAAAATGTAATTTAAGTGTATTTTTAAATATGTGTAGATATATAAGAGAAGTGTGAAAATTTTCCAGAATGATCACTATATGAATGGTGATTTCGCGACATTTTTTCAATTCTTTTTGGACACTTTTGGGGTCAAAATTTGACCGGAAAGGGGCTGAAAATATAATTTAAGTGTATTATAAATTCTGTTTGGAAAAATAGGTGAAACTTCCCAAAATGCTCACTATATTAGTGTTGATTTTAGAAAATAGATTTAATTTTTGCTGGACACTTGTAATTTATGGTCAAAATGTAACCAAACAATTGCTGAAAATGTAATTTAACTATATTTTCAAATATGTTTGAAAAATTATGAACAGTTCCTAGAATGATCACTATATTTGTGCTGATTTTTACAGAATCTGTTTAATAAAAATCTGGACACATTCTTTTTTTTGTCAAAATTTAATTCAAGGGGAGGTGGCCGGTCAACAGGTCAAAACAATTCCTACTCAATGAAAACCGGATTGAGTAGAGGGGAGGGTTGATTCCCAGCCAATTTTGATAGTTAGGGTTGAATCTTGGACAAATGAAAGAGTCAAGTGTTGTAGTATGGATTCCTCTCAAACTAAAAATGCATGCAATTTGGAAAATGTGGTAATTTTGCTCGAGACTGATGTTGGATATAGATTCAGAAGGTTAAAATCATTGACTTGGAAAAACAAATTCCAATCAACCGAGAAGTTTCAGTGCCGCAAGTACTGCGTAAAGTACTTCTGGTCCTCATAAATCTCAGGTCGGCCTTCCATGATATTGTAAGATACTCCCTCTGTCTCATAATATAAGAACGTTTTTGACACTAATATAGTGCAAAAAACGTTCTTATATTATGGGACGGAGGGAGTATTTAATTTACAATTTTGCTCGTTTGGACACTTTCGACACCTGCATCGATCGATTAATGCACAAATCCTCGAAGCATCTCAGCTGCTCAGCCCCAGCTAATGCATCATGGTTTATTTTAGCTAGATCAACCGTGTTCACTTGGTCAATCGAAGAAAGCTTGTTTACCCTTTTTTTTCATGATCGAGCATATTCCGTTGTGATGGAAAAAAGATAATTGCATCTATAGTCCTTGTAGTCGCTGGCGACGTCCAACTTGCTCCTGAAACTTGCGTATTGCTTTAATATGGTCTCGGTACATGAAAATACGTGGTCAATACGGCCCCTAAGGTTGAAACAACAGTCCTGACTGTACACATTGCATACGTATATCGTATTTGCGTAGGTAACACGTGAGCTGAGAAAAAAAACGCAAGCCGCCTGAACAAAACGTGGGCCGTGACGTCTGTATATGGCCCATATGACAGTGGACAGTGAAAAAAGCGGGAAAAAGGGAAAAATAGCGCGGGCTCTGGGATTCTAACCTGCACACCGTGGCACATATCTGCGCGAGCAAGCCACCGGGACAAGCGCGTAATCTATTATATGACGTGATGCGTACTGCATTAGTATGTGCGTTCTTGGCTTTTAAAAAAATCGTGAACTTATAAAATGTTCATGAGTTGTCTTTAAACGTTCGTCGACTAAAAAAATGTTCAAGATTAAAAATAATGGTTCGTTTCTACAAAATATGTCCACAATTTTATAAAAAAATATTCAAAACAATGTACAGGAATATAAAAAGTGAGAACAGAATTTGAAGAATGCATGCAGCCAAGTTTTGAACCCGCGACCCCCAGCAAAAAATTGCGCGCGGAAGCCACCACACTAAGGGCATTGTAGGGACAAAATCATGATGAACTGCTTTATATAAAAACATCATTGTCCATTCCGCTATAGCAGGCCCAGACACATTTTTTGAAAACGCGTGTGCTAGCGAATTAAGCTGGCAGTAGTATTTTTATTTTTGCGAAAACAGTAGTATTTTTTTGCGCATGGTTTTAAACCATAGTTTCTTTTCTTTTTCTTTTTTATTTTCCTCCTTTTCTGTTTAGTATAAATTGTAAAATAATGTTTAAAGTATTCAACATTTGTTAACGCTTTCAAAACTAGTTCAGAATTTTTTTTAACGAATCAGATTTTACGAAAATAGTTTGAAGTTTCAAATTTTGGTCAAAGTATAAAAAACTATTAGAAGTTTTCAAAAATGTTTTCATTTGCATTTTTATTTTTCCGATTTTCAAATTGTTCCCGGTTATAAATTCTTCTTCTGAATTTTAAATTTTCTACAGCAATACAAAAAAATTCCCCCTTTTCTAAAAAATGATCCAGAATTTAAAATAATGTTAGTGTTTTTGATGAATATTTTTTCAAGAAGTCCTTTTTCATGTATTCATCTTTTTTGTATCTGTCACATACAAGCACATATATTGATGAAATATTGCACAGTAATATTGTGCTACTATACAATCTTGAAAATGTTGTGCATATACATACAATTATGGAATTTTTTATGTAGTAAAAATCCATTTGTTTACTGAAAATGCGAATATTTTTAAAATGATGATTTTTGTTACAAATTTGTGACTATTTTTTGAATTCACGAGCATTTTTTGAAATTGCGTACATTGTTTTAGAACTCGTCAACAAGTTTTTATGCATAGGCGAACATTTCTTGAAATTTTGGAACAAATTTTCGTATTCTGAAACAGTTTTTGTTTGCGACGGACCTTTTTTGGAATTTTTAAAAATTCCCGTACATTGTTTCAAATATATTTTTACAAAATCATGGACATTCCTTTTAGATACGAACCTTTATTTTTTTTAGCTAGAACATTTTTTGAATCGATGAACGTATTAAAAAAACTCATAAACATTCTATAAATTCACAATTTTTTCTAAAAGACAAGAACGCACATACTAATAAATTTTGCATCCCGTTACGTACAATATCATGTGCTTGTTACGGTGGCTTGCTCGCGCAAGTATGTGCCACGGTGTGCGTGTTCGAATCCCAGGGGCTGCCCTTTTTTTCCTCTTATTTCTTGGCCCACTGACAGACATCATGGCCCACGTTTTGTTCTGGTGGGTTGCTTTTTTTTCTTGGCCCACGTGTCTCCTACGTAAATACGACATACGTATGCAATGTGTAGAGCTAGAACTGTTGTTTCAATCTCATGGACCGTATTGACCACGTATTTTCATGCATCGAGACGCGTGTTCGAATCCCAGGGGCTGCCCTTTTTTTCCTCTTATTTCTTGGCCCACTGACAGACATCATGGCCCACGTTTTGTTCTGGTGGGTTGCTTTTTTTTCTTGGCCCACGTGTCTCCTACGTAAATACGACATACGTATGCAATGTGTAGAGCTAGGACTGTTGTTTCAATCTCATGGACCGTATTGACCACGTATTTTCATGCATCGAGACCGTATTAAAGCAATACGCAAGTTGCGGGACCAAGTTGGACATCGCCAGCAACTAAGAGGACTATAGATGCAATTATCTCTGATGGAAAACTACAGGGGCCATGCTTCAGGTGGCCTGGTAGATGTGAGGTGGTACACAGCCTGCTATACCTGGCCATGGGAAGCCCGATCCGGCCAGCCCAGCCCGACCCGGCTCGAAAAAGCCTGACCCGGCCCGGCCCGACGCTGCCCTTTTTTTCCTCTTATTTCTTGGCCCACTGACAGACATCATGGCCCATGTTTTGTTCTGGTGGGTTGCTTTTTTTTCTTGGCCCATGTGTCTCCTACGTAAATACGACATACGTATGCAATGTGTAGAGCTAGGACTGTTGTTTCAATCTCAGAGACCGTATTGACCACGTATTTTCATGCATCGAGACCGTATTAAAGCAATACGCAAGTTGCAGGACCAAATTGGACGTCGCCAGCAACTACGAGGACTATAGATGCAATTATCTCTGATGGAAAACTACAGGGGGCATGCTTCAGGTGGCCTGGTAGATGTGAGGTGGTACACAGCCTGCTATACCTGGCCATGGGAAGCCCGATCTGGCCAGCCCAGCCCGACCCGGCTCGAAAAAGCTTGACACGGCCTGGCCCGACGCTGCTCCCGGGCCGGGCTCGGGCTTAGATTTTGAGCCCGATGGCCGGGCCGGGCCGGGCCCGTCATTTTTGCACTTTTCTGAAGGTCGGGCTGGGCTGGCCGGGAGCCCGACGAGCTTTTATATGTTCGGGCCGGGCTTGGGCCCAGAAAACAGGCCCGGTGGCCGGGCCGGGCCGGGCCCGGGCCTAGGTTTTTTGCGCCGGGCTTGGCTAGGCCCAGCCCGGCCCGAGGTATGGCCAGGTATACAGCCTGCTCATATCTTCTTTTACCAGTTGTATATGATTAGTCAACGATATTGATCAGTATTTAACCCATCAGCTAGCTTAGTGCCTGTTCGGCAGGCCTCCGCTCCGCAGCTCCTGGAGGTGCGGGAGGAGCTGCGGAGTGGCACCGAACGCTGACTCCATGCCTCTCCCAACGCGGAGCGGAGCAGCTTGTAGGCCACTTTTTCAGAGTTGCAAAAGTGCCGCTCCGTGCGCTTCGTTTTTGGATGGAGCTGGGAGTTGGAAAGCGGGGAGTGGACGCCTGCCAAACATGGCCTTAGTCTAATTTATCCATGCCATGATCCCAGAGATCTCAACGAGTAGTTATGTTGCTATAGCTACCGGTTGAGTTCTCTTTACTATTCTTACAAAAAAGTAATTATATTATTTCCACCGTTTTTAAATATAAGGTTTTTAGAGATTTCAATGAAGATTATATGCAGATGTATATAGGCATATTTTAGAATGTAGATTTAATCATTTAGCTTCGTATGTAGTCCATATTAAAATCTTTAAAAAGATTTATATTTAGAAATAGAGTACTACGACACCAACATTTTAGCGGTACATGTCATGGGTAAAGTCCAAGTGTATTTGGTATCATATTAGCATTAATAGATGTCCCTTCAGCAGTATATGTTGCTGTAGAAGGGGGGCAAGTTGCCGCTCTAAACTAACTAATTAATACTACTACTTCTGTAGTATAGCAGTGTAGCTGTACCCTAGACGGAGGAAACATGAAAACTGACCGGTCACGAGGAACAGATCGACGAGGCCGGGCGGGGAAAGCAAACCAGACCACTAGATCAATTGCACATTTCTTTAGTAACTACGGTTAATTGCGCATCATCGACAGTAAACTAAGACAGCAGAGAAATCCTCTCGTAAAGCAGAGCATCAAAGAAGAAGTTTTTTTTTTGTGGGAAATCAAAGAAGAATTAACAGTTAATCGACGATTCATCTGTCAAAGAGCTATCGGCTGCGTGTGTACCTTGACATGCGGGTCCTGGGCCTCCGCCATGGCCTTCAGCTCGGCCACCTTGAGCCACTCCCCTTCCCCTGCGTCCCCTCCTCCTTCCACGCTGCTCGCCATCGATCTCCCTCTTCAACGAGAGGCAGGCTGGGGTGCAGCCTACTGGCAAGGTGAGTGAGCAAGGTTGGAGGGCGGAGGAGTAGCCGGAGGGGAGAAAGATCTCAACTCGAATAGTAGAGCAGGGGGATAGGGAAGGAGGCGAATAGATGTTATCGGAGGGAGACCGGTGGGATATTGGGAGCGAGAGGTGTGCAGTGCAGGGATTCTTCGTTTCTCCGTCTTGTCATCTCGTGGGCTTAATTTGTTTTCTTGCGTTCTTTTCTCTTCCAGTAGTCAGCACTCAGCAATGGCGACGGCTCTGGTCTATTCATTTTTTAGGGCCGGGGCGTTCCCTGTCCATAATATTTGGCGCCAGGACTTCCTCAACAATATTTGGCGTGCGAACCAACCTGTGGTTAGATAGTTAGAGGGATTATGGTATCCTCAGCCCATCAGGATTCAAGTCCTGTCGCTCACATTTATTTTCTGGATTTATTTCAGAATTTCCGATGATGCGCATTTAGTGGGTGGAGACGTTCCCGTCGACGGCAAGGTACCTACGGTGGCTTCGTAAATTCCAAGATGATATGCTGGCTCAGTCTTTCGGAGATGCTCATGGGGATAGAATGTGTGTGTGTGCGTTTATAGGGATGAGTGTATGCACGTGTATATGAGCGCTTGCGTCTGTACCGTATTAAAAAAACAAAGAGAAGCGTAAATATTTTTGAAAAAAATGAAAATTATATACTTTTCAATTGCCCCGGTAATGGTCACCGTGAGAGGGCGACGCAAAGTCGATCGACCCCACTTTTTGTTGCCTCTTCATGAATGACTGTTGTTCTTTTCTTTTTTGATAAATAAAGGAGATATATTAATATCAAGATGGTACCAAATACATCCAGGCTCTGCAACAACATAATGCTTAGATTAAGTCTAAACATCAAGGATACACACAGTCAAAGTAAAATGAAGACACCGCCGAAGCAAATAGAAATCCGCAGCAGCAAGAACACGACCAGTGGTGATGACACGTAGACTTCGAAGAAGGTTCTCCAAAACGACGCCTTCAGAAAAATAACAGTGCACAAACACTGTTCTCGTCCGGCCTGTGCGACTGGCAGAAACGTCTTACCCTAACTTGGGCGTCGTGTTGCATGTTATATAGCAGGGGCGCAATAACCCTGACAACGCATAAATGATTTGGTTGAGAGGATACATCTTGGAGAGAAAGAAAGAGGAGGAGATAGGTTTAGTTACAACAAGAAGATCTAGTCTAAACTACCTCCTGAACTTATCTCATGCGCAAGATATCCTCTACCTAAACCATACGTGACAGAGTATATGCATCTGGTTTAACACCCTCCCTTAATCACAACTTAGTTAAGTTGAGATTAGATCTAAAGTTTTCAAAACTCCGTACAGGCAACGCCTTGGTGAATCCATCTGCCAGTTGGTCCTGGGAGTGTATAAACCGAATATCAAGTTCTTTCTGAGCAACTCTTTCTCTCAAAAAATGGAAATTAATTTCAATATGCTTTGTTCTGGCATGGAAGACTGGGTTTGCAGATAAATAGGTTGCACCAAGATTGTCACACCATAAACAAGGAGCTTGTTGGACTTTTACACCTAACTCCTTTAACATAGATTGGACCCATATGATTTCTGTTGTGGCATTTGCTAATGCCTTGTATTCTGCCTCTGTGCTTGACCTAGAGACAGTAGCTTGCTTTCGTGCACACCATGATATCAAATTAGGTCCAAAGAAAACTGCAAACCCACCAGTTGATCTTCTGTCATCCAGACATCCTGCCCAATCAGAGCCAGAGAAGGCATTGACAACAGTAGAGGGTGATCTGTTGAAGTTTAAGCCAACACCCAAAGTGTTCTTGACATATCTTACTATACGTTTAGCAGCAATCAAATGAACAGTAGTGGGTGCATGAAGGAATTGACATACTTTGTTGACAGCAAAAAAAATGCCAGGCCTAGTAAGAGTGAGATACTGCAAAGCTCCTACCATACTCCTATATTTTGTGCTGTCCTCTTGACTTAGTAGTGTTCCTTCTGTAAGAGACAATTTTCCTGAGCTAGATAAAGGAGTGGATGAGGGTTTACAACCTTGCAAGCCAGCCTTTTTTACTAGATCAATTGCATACTTTTCCTGAGAGAGATGCAATCCATCCTTGTGTCTCTTCACCTCAATTCCAAGAAAGAAATACAAGTCTCCAAGATCCTTCAAGGCAAACTCTGCACCCAAGTCTCTCAACAGACCTTGAATTGCTTCATTAGATGAGCTTGTCACAATGATATCATCAACATAAATGAAAACAAACATGCATGTGTTGGAGTTGTTGTAAATGAACAATGAGGTGTCAGATTTAGAAGGAACAAAACCGAGTGCTTGCATTTTATGGCAGAGACGGGAATACCATGCTCTTGGGGCTTGCTTCAACCCATACAATGCTTTATCAAGTTTGCAGACATGAGTGGGAGCACTTTTATTTTCAAACCCAGGAGGTTGTTTCATATATACCTCCTCTTCCAGAACACCATGGAGGAACACGTTCTGTACATCAAGTTGTCTGAGACTCAACCCCTGGAAATAGCAATGGACAAGACAAGATGAATAGTAGCAAATTTTACTACTGGACTAAAGGTGTCTTCATAGTCTATACCATTTCGCTGTTTGAAGCGTTTTGCAACCAGCCTAGCCTTGTAACGATCAATGGTTCCATCGGATTTTCTTTTAATCCTAAATACTCACTTGCAGTCAATTAAATTTTTACCTTGATGTGGAGGAACCAAGTGCCATGTGTTATTTTTCTTAAGTGTTATGTACTCTTCAGTCATGGCTTTCTTCCATTTTTCATCACCAAGGGCCTCTTGAACTGTTGTAGGTTCACCTGTAGAGCAAATCATTACATACTTGGTTATGTGCTTGTAATTGACAGGTTTCGTTACCCCTTTATGTAGACGTGTATGCCGAGGTGACGAAGTGAGCAATTCTGTGGCCACAGAGGATCCCGTAGGCAGCACAGAAGTATCAGCCGCAGCAGATCTTGAGGAGAGATTCTCTGCGTCCGCCGCGTGAGGATTTTCTGCGTCCAACAGCCGCGCCTCTGTACTGGCCTGATCCATAGAAGATCCCGACCTGTGGGCCGGCCCATCATTCTCCAATGATGGCGAATCTGATCCAGAGTCCACGCCTGTCGAGCATGCAGGCAGATCCACACGGGAGTCCGCGCCTGTCGGGTGCACAGGGGATTGACGCGAGATTCCGTGCATGTACTGTGGCCCACATCGGTGGAGCCGATTGGGCCTCGCCTCCCGTAGCAGACAGGCTGGCCGCCGAATCGGGTGTCGCCTGCACCAGCGGCATGCTGCCACATGTCAGATGATGGTTGGCGCGAGGCTGGGGCCGCATCACGGCGAGTGGGAGGACACCGCCTGTCGCCAGCGGGATCAGAGGCAGTGGCGCGTGCGCCTGGTCCGCCTGGTCCGTCTGCGGCAACAGATCCCGAGGACGATCAGATTCTTTGCCCTGGAGCTGATCCCGGGGAGGATCTGCCTCCTGATTCGGGACACATAAAATGAGGCCCAAACCTTGCACCATTTTCATCATTCTGAGCTGCATTTTCGTGATTTTCTTCATTGTTTGCTCCTGTATCATCACAATGCTCATGCACACTATTAGTAGGATTAGTCAATAGTTGATCATCAATATTGTTTCCCCCTTGATCAAGACCGGTGAGATGTGAAGGCAATAGGAGAATTTCTTTGCGAAGGAGTGCACCGGCGTTTGGATGGAGATCAACAAAAGGAAACTTAGTTTCGTCAAAGACAACATCACAAGATATATAGACACAGCCCGTAGAGACGTCTAGGCATTTGACTCCTTTGTGTTGGGCACTATATCCAATGAACACGCATTGTGTGGAGCAAAACATAAGTTTGCGATTATTGTATGGACGTAGATTAGGCCAACAGGCACATCCGAACACACGGAGAGACTTATAGTTGGGTTTGGTGTGGAGAAGGCGTTCTAGTGGTGTTTCATTATTAATGACATGACTAAGAAGCATATTGATAATATGCACGACAGTGAGGAACGCTTCATCCCAAAACTTGAGCGGCATGGAGGCTCCTGCTAAGAGGGCAAGTCCAACCTCAACAATGTGGCGATGCTTGCGCTCAGCCGAACTGTTTTGTTGGTGAGCGTGGGGGCATGACACATGGTGTGAGATGCCAAGAGTTTGGAAGAAGGAGTTTAGTTTCTCGTACTCCCCCCCCCCCAGTCGGATTGAACATCAATAATTTTGCTATTAAACTTGCGTTCAACAAGAGCTTGCAAATTTTTAAAGACTTGGAAAACATCTGATCTCTTTTTAAGAAGATAGATCCAAGAGAATTTGCTGTAGTCATCGATAAAACTCACATAATAAGTGTGTCTACCCACAGAACTAGGGGCAGGACCCCAAACATCAAAGAAGATTAATTGCAAGGGTTGTATGGAGACACTAGTAGATATAGGGTAAGGTAACTGATGACTCTTAGCTCGTTCACATGAATCACAAATAGTTTCAACATGACGCTCACCAACAAACGGGAGCTTATTTTTCCTAAGCAATCTTTCAACTAGAGAAAAAGAAGCATGTCCTAGACGATCGGGCCACCGTGTTGACGAAAGCTTGGCAACACCATAGGCTTGTTTATTGAATCTTTTGTGACGCCCCAAGACCGGTGCTCCAGATGCCTTCCTTGTTTTTCCGAGATTCGTCGTGTGATTTGTTTGGTTCGTTGCATTCATCTTTGCATCATGTCATCTTGCACCCTTTTTAAAAAACTCAACTAAATAAATTGCATAGATCGTTGATAAATCGAGGGAAATTCACATGGTGAAATTCTCTTTAAAACATATCCTCCCAATATTTAGGGAGCTATAATAAATATTCTGTTAATTTTCAGAATCACCCATAAACACACTTGCAAATAATCACATGCCTTTTTCTGCTTCAAGTTTG